CCACAAACAATGCCATGCTGTTTGTTCTGGATATCATTTAGAAATTTATTTCCATTTATTTCTTTATTTTTTATTTACAAATGAGAAGTAGAAATTTAAGGACTTTGTGCAATACATTTCACATGGGCTATTTTCCACACTAAATCATTTTGAATAGATGATTCTATTTGCCCTGTGTAAAAAGCAATTTGCCCTGAGTTACAGCATAGACCATACACTGGTGGCTCTCAGTGGGGCCTATTGGAAACAAGTGGGCTCCAGTAACGGCAGGAGTGGCGTGGTTCTTACCTCTCATGCCAGCCTTCCTCCATGGAGCTTTCTGAGGATAGTTCAGCCTCAGGAGGTGCTTCAATGGAATGCTCTGGCAAATGTAGTAAATATAGCTTTCTGCTCCTGACAACACTAATTAATCTTGGTCCCATTAATTAAAACTTTGCAATTAAGGAAACTTTATATGAGAATAATCTCATAACTCAGAACTATCTACTTTCAATTAAAAATTGATATCTTAGCTTTAGATTATCTTTTTTTCACTTATTAATATAATAGGTTTTTTTGTATTCCAGTTAAGGTTACTCAATTTATTTTCTTCTCCATATTTAAAAGTGACCTATAGTCTATTTAAAAAATAATTAGGACTGTATTCTTTCTTTTAAATTAATACCCTTTAAAACAACTGTGTTTCTAAGAAATCTCCAGATATTCAAAGATAAATGTTGAATTGACCCCTCACAGAGAATTATAAGAACTATTACATTACAGTAGGGTTGTTTTCATTAACAATGAAGATGTTATGGTCCATAGTCTACTTTGATTATCGAAGAAAATCAACATGTTAGCAGTTCTTCTGTATGTTTCTATGTTTCCTAAGGTTTCGATATATCCCTTAATATTTTACTAAGCAGATTTCTACATGGGCATGAAGAAGAGATGATTTTGGAAAAAATCAATAACTTAATAGTCTCCGAGTTTACAAAATATCATAGAGTTGCCTATTCCAAAATCAGACAATGCTAATGAATGAAACACAGGCAATAGTATAAATCATAAGTAAACTTTATTGCTTCAATATCCCCTAATAATTTTTCTATAACTGGTGTCAGATATTTTATAAGAAGGTTCAGCATCACAATTCCTCAAAAGCAAACCGTTGAAATTCATATTTATTCCCCCAGAAATAGACTATGGAAGTGAAGACTTTTGTCATTAGTAATTTAACTTGTTGTTTTCTGCAAATAGTAAACTCTTTGAAGGAAAATCACTCATAGCCTTTCACCTTTGTGTTTTTCAGGATTCTGTGGCTTTTGTTTTTCAATCTATTTTTTCAAAATGCACTTTTAATTGAAGTTTAATTTGCTAGATAATGGAAAATTTATTTTATGTGTTTTCTTTACTCCAATGCAACTTGTCCCCATATAATTTTTTCTATTAGTTTTTCACTTGAAAACTTCAAACCATTTGGAATATTTTTAGCAATGATAGGACTGCTCTGTTTCTCACTTATTAGTAAAATTTATAAATGTATTGACTTGACAATGACTCTTAGGTAGTCCCTGTGGGCAACACATTTAGAATTGATGCTGAGCCATGGAAAATTGCCTTGTGTGTTTGATTTTCTTCAGTTAATTTTGTATCAATATTAAAGGAGTTTGATCTAATCCAGACTTCTCTGGTTTCTTTGTAAAAATTTGTGGTGTAACAGATCAAATATCTTTCTAAAGACAAGATACAATGCTGTCTACTCCATTTCCTTTATCCGCTAAGCTTTTTTTTCTTCAGAGGAAAAAAGATAGATTTACAGTAATTATTTTCATATAAGTTTGAAGTACATTTTTAGGGTAATATAGAAACACTTAATCTTTACTTGAATTATAATTTTAGGTATTAGTGTCATGGGACAATACATAAATTATATTGAAAAATATAAAGATAAAACAATGTCTGCTACTGCTCTTGGGTTTGGCTAGCAAAACAAGGGACAGTAAGATATATCTTTTTTTTTTTCTCTACTGGGTATATTTGATATCCTATTACATTAACATGTTGCATCAAATGGAATAGACCATTTCACTTATTTTCCAATAATCAGGGTTCAGTTGCCTGATTAATCTGATGAACGTAGTCATTAAACTGTTTTATTTTTTCAGTTAAGATTCTACATCAGTTCATATTACATGGAAAAATGCCAGATCTCTTCTATGACTTATGTTATGTAATACTGGCTAAGGCTTTATCTACATAGCAACTCCCAAACAAAATTTAAAGGAAGGATGGAATGGGAGATTTGCTATTTAAATAGCCTTGCTATTTTTATTTATATTTATTTATTTATTTTTATTTATTTTACTTTATTTTGTTTTATTTTATTAATATACAAAGTGGTTGATTTTTGTGACCCATTACCAAATCCTCCCTCTCCTCTCCCTATCCCCCCTCCCTCCCAACTACCTCATGTCTGTTCACTTGTCTTAACAACTTCAAGGAATTGAGATTGTTGTGTCTTCTTCCCTACCCCCCCCCCAGTTTATTTGTGTATTTATTTTTTAGCTCCCACAAATAAGTGAGAACATGTGGTATTTTTCTTTACACTACACAGTTAATTGAAAAGTATCTCTGCCATTGAAAAATGTACATTGGTAAATGAGATGATAGAAACATAACATTAAGTACAATATATTTTAATGAAATAAAAGTCTTACGAAAGGTGACCCATGCAAAGGGCTTTATGTCTTATTTCTCCCTCTGTCTTCAAGTGCCTAGAACAATGATCACATGATGAGTTCATTCGTTGAATGATGAATGAATGACAGTGCTTGTGGGGTCCTAGCCTAGGCCTCTTTCCTCATCCTTCAGAGATCAAACTGTTTTTCCATCAGATTAAGACACTAGCATTAAGGGAGATCAATTTGAAGTTATCCTTTTATATATGTGGACAGAAATGTTTTTAGAAAAGCCGGTTCAGAGAACTAGCAAATTACAGATATATCCACGTTACGTTTATCTCCCAGTTTTGAGAACTGATTTTGCCCATGCTGGACACTACAATCTTGACCACAATAATGAAATAATATGCTCTTGAGCCAGAATGATTTGTTCATCAATTTATTCAATATTAACAAACATTTAGAAATACTTATGGGCCGGCCCGGCGGCGCACTGCTACAGTGCGCCGCTTGGGAAGTGCGGCAGCACTCCACCGAGGGTTCGGATCC